AATAAATAAATAGAGGTGTTCCTAAATTTCTGAAACTTCTAACATAAAAGCATCCTTCCTCCTCTTAAAAGAAAAAAAATGGGCATATGACAGAAGAGAGCAGTAATTCTTCCAAATGTATTTTGTGCTAGCAGTAGAGAGGGTGATGGGAACTGATAAAAGGAGTCTTAAGAGACCACATGCCTGAAAGTAACGGTCTGGTTTTTGTTTTGAAGCCAAGTCACAATCTGTCCACTTGAACAGAAATGGCTTACGTGTTTTCCAGCTGAGCTTTTCAGAATGAATCCTCTAAATGTCGACTCTGGAGTGTCATAGATCACTGCAGGGCCTTTCTGCTGTTAACAAATGAATTGCTCCCACTTCTATTACAGACAACCTAGTTTTCTGTTCAGATTTAAATGTGTCTGTTCCCCTTCTTGTAGCGCCGTCCTACCCACAGACCTTCTGTGTTTGCTCTTACAGACAGACAGCACCATCTGGCCTGAGACCACAAATACAATTAAACGTGGAGGTCCTCTGCCAGGAGCTCTCAGAGAACATAGTAAAGTTAGAAAAGGTAACTTGCTCCATTCCTGTGGGTGAGGGCAGTTATGCTGCTTTCTGCGGGTTGTTGTAAGTCACACACTCAGAATGCCTTCTGTCTACAGCCAGCAATTTAAATGACCAAATGACCAAACCTCGCAAGGTAGGGAGGAGGTGTGCATAGTAAATGTGAAACATACTTTTATTTCCATGAAGCAATGAGTTTGAAGCCCATTTTTCTTTACAATTCATGGTCTGTTTTTTGTGTTTCCCCCTGAATAAGACATGTTTCTGTGTGCCATAGAGATCAGTGATGAGCACCTGCTGACGCCAGGCCTCGAGGAGGGACACATTAGAGAGTGAACGGGGGACCAGCGGCCCAGCCAGACATACAACTCTGACTGCACCCTGGGCAGCTCTTACCATACATAAACCCCGTGTTCATGGGGCCAGGGGGGAATAGTTCAGTGGTCTAAGTGCCTGCCTGGCAAGCACAAGGACCCAAGTTCAATCCCCAGTACCACATGCTGTGCCAGCCCCAGAACCCCTGGTGCACTGTGCCAGCCCCAAAACCAGGCGTGGTGGCACACACCTGTAATCCCAGCACTGGGGAGGCTGAGACAGGAAGATCACTAGGCGTCTGAACTGCTGTATCCAATAAATAAATTTAAACAATAAAAAACTTTGTTCAATCCCTATACAACTGGGAGATAGATGGATGTCATGGTTCCTATCTGATAGGCAAAGAATAAAGTCTCTAAGTACCTCGCCAAAGGTGACACACCTAGAGAGTCACCTGGACTGGGGTCTTAGAAATTGAACCAAGTCCTCTTACTGCAAAGTTGTGCCCGAAAGCCCCCTGCCTGGATGTAGAAGCGTAGTGTGCTTAGCACCCAGAAGCCTTGGGTGCAGCTTCCACAGGAAAGACAGACAGCAGCTCCTGTTTTACTTCTTCTCAGAACTCAGCCTTAGACTTCATAGGTAAGACCTCTGATGTAAGTCTACCTCTAGAAGTCTCTTCCTGGGGTAAGTCTGTTCTTAGCTTGTGGCATTCTTAGAAGGTGATAGGATGAACAAGGGGGAGAACACAGGCACATAAGAAATATCCTAGAATAAGGTCTAATGAACAGGTCTTATTTTCCCCTTTCAATATTTTTCTTTCCATCTAATAACTACTTGGTTTTTACCCTAGTCCCAAAGGAAAGGTATAAACAATCAAGTATTGGATCAAAGCTGCTCTTGAAAGTATGGTTAGCTTTCCATGCTAGTACTATTAGGAGAGCAAATATGAAATACAAATAGCACAGTTATCTCTGTTGCCCTACACTAAATGTTATCTCTTTTTAACAACTAAGTGTTGACAGCAAAAGTATTTCCAAACTGCTCTTCTTAACCAAGGCAGGATGGATAATTCATGTTGATCTATGGGAAAAAGTAGAAACTGCTCTAAAATCCAAAATCAATCTAAGGAAGTTACATATTGGCTACTTAAAACTTTTTTTCTTTCTAAAACATTAGTCTTTGAGAATTAAAGACTTTAAAAAAAAAAAAGAAGAAGAAGAAGTGCATGCTAATGTTGCCCTTCATTCTGTCCTAAAAAACAGGGCGGCATAGTCTTCAGCCCGCTCACTGTGACATGAAAGTGATGCTCCTCAGATCTGAAACACACAGAACCCTACCGCCTTCTGTGTTCCCACTGTCCTCCTGGGCTGGCCAGGATACGGCATTTTGTAAATGGGAAAAGGAGTGATTCACAGCCAGTCCATAGCTGGCCCCTGAGGGGCCCTAGGGTGGGCTGGACAGCTGGGGGGCCTTCAGTGACACCAGTGAAGACAGTGTTTGTCCCAAAGCAGAATCAATGTACGGGTTGCTGTATCTGTGCCTCAAAGGAGTCTAAATATGAAGAGGGAGACCAGGCCACGCCCAGGTCCTTGGAATCTGCCCCTTCCTCAGAGGCAGGCAGCAGTTACACAACACAGCCTGGGCATGAAATAGCAGCTCCGTGCTGGGCAGGAGTTGGAGGCACGGGTGGCTCTTTCTTCATGATAGCAATTCTATTTTCTTCAGGAGCTGGTCGTGATCTGTCTCAGTTGTAACTTCCTTGTTTCTGTCCATAGTATCACTGCCCTGGCAGTAATCCTCATTGAAAGTCTGCAAAGGATTTCTGCCTTCTTCCCCTTTTCACTAACTGACCTCTTAATTTGTTGCTAAAATTCTATTGTGTCTACCCTCAAATGCCTTCTGAAATTCCCTTACCATGGATACTATTCTGGTCCATCCAAGTCCTGACTACCAGTCCTGTTTTTCTATTGGTCCTGAGGTATAAGCAAGGAAGCTTTGAAGCAGGAATGGGGGAAGGAGGCAATGCTTATTGTGAATAAAGAAGTGAATAATTACTTTCTTAGCAGTGGAAGTGGTGGTAATGCTGGTGTGGTATAGAGGAAACAGCATACATTCTGGAGTCATCCTTCTTACTCCTACTGTGCCACTTCCTGCCTGTGTAACTCATCAGCCTAGGTGGCCTCTGGCCCTCAGTTTCAATGTGGAGAACCTGCCATTGGGCGGTGGTATGTGGTTAAGGTGAAAACTCCTGGTGCATACACATTAGAGCCCCTTCTCTTGCTATGAGTGTGCCTGTAGGACATCTTTCTACACAAGATGTCTTGGTCATTTTCCATTGCTGCAATTGACCCACAGGCTGAGTAGTTTATAGAGTGAATGTTTCTTTACCTTACAGTTCTGGAGGGCGCAGGGTTGAGGGGCCATGTCTAGTGAAGGCCTTCTGACTGCTGAGGACTGCAGAGTTCTGAGGCATTGTGAGGCATCCCGTGGTGAGACAGGGCCAGCTTGCTGACATGGCCTCTTCCCTCATGAAGGCACAAGTGGGATCATGGATAAAGGCCCCACTTCAAAATGCCATTAATAAGTGATAGGATTAAATTTCAACATGAATTGATTATAGCAGAATATATTCTTGCAATTCATGAGGTTCTCTGCTCCCATCATAATATTGATTGTTAGGATTTCCTTGTTCTGAATTCTTTACAGCTCATCTCTTCAGAAGGCATTAACTGAAAGGAATTTTAGTGCCCAACACTGGACTGTAGGTCCAACAACATAGTTGATCCCTAGTCAGTATGATGCATCATTTTTCTAATGCCATCAAAGGGGTTCTGCAAAAGCCCAGTTTCCTGTTTCTGAATGCATCTGGGTCATACCTGGTCCTGCCATTGCTAGTTCTTTCTCTTCCACCTCATTTCTCTGTCTTTACTGACATTTTCATCTTTGTCCCACTCCTTTTTTAATCTCTGTCTTCTTTCTGTCTCAATGTAGATTTTCAGAGTTCTAGTCAAGATGTCTTTCCAAGTGTGTTTGCCTGATTTAAAATCAATCTTTGTGTAGCATTTTATTAGAGGTTATTATAGGTTTTATTATATAGGTTAATCCCAAGCAGCTATTAGCCACTGAAAATATGCCCTAAAGTACACCATTGTATTTACTAACAGAAACTTCTCTTTTATTATTTCAAGATACAAAACAACTTACAGAAGCTCCTGGACAATGGTGACTGACGACCAGGTTGCTGGGCCCAACTAATACCTCACATCTCTTGGATGAAGGTGCTCGCAAGGCCTTCCCAGTAAGCGTTCCCTGCTGGTCAGAGGCGCCGTGGATGGAACCCAGACATGGTTGCACTCGGAGGTCTCCAGCTCAGGAAAAGGGGAAGGGGAATCACTTTGCTTCCTGTGCAATAAAAGCTGACCTTGTCTCTCTGAGGAAGTTTTTGCTGCTACTGCCTAAAGAAAACAGACCCATCTCTGGAGGTCTCAGAGCAGGCCCGGCAAACACTCTGAAATGATCATGGTCCAGCAGTTTCTGTGATCACTTGTTAGTAAACACTGCACTCCAGGCATACTCAAGCCTTCCTACCCTCGTTTTCACTTACTTACATCCTTCTGCAGATCACTGAAAGTGTACCAGTGGCCTCCACGTGGTCCTTTAAGGAATTAGCCATGAGTCTGAAAAGGCAATGAATGTCTCTTGAGTGGACAGGCTTGCCACGGGCTTGTGACATTCTGCTCTTCCTTTCAACTGTTATCTTCTGTTTTAGTCATTTACCTACGTATCATAAATTCTCTGTTGAGTTTTAGTAAAAATGGCAAGCAAAGTGGATTAAACTATCCTGTTTTTGTTTTGTTTTGATCTTGTGACTAACATGTAATTGGAGTGATTCTTCTCACCCACCTCAGGTCAAGAATCTGTGAGGAAGAAGACCGAAATACTACATTAAAACTTACTTTGAAACCAAAACTAATCTTTAAACCAAAAGTTGTAATAGTGATGTAATAAAGGATGAAGAACACCAAATTGTTAAGATTGTAGGTGGACTATGTTAGCCATTTTGAAACAAGATATCGGTATTGGATGCTGAAAGGTATTTCCGTGTGACAGGTGTATGCCTTTCTCTTTTGCTAACTAAAATAACTGGTGGTTTGATAACTCTATTTACTACATGGTTTGGGTGGGTTTTATTAATAATATTTAGGGTACCGTAAGATCTGTAAGTATAAAGCATATTCCATTTCTACTTGTAATGCATTTTATAATCATTTCTATGAAATGTGTTTTGTTTAATCAGATAAGCTAATAAATGAATTGGTTATGTCATTTGTACTTGTTAGCCTGCTGGACAACAGCTGTGCCTAGCACACTGCCAGCTTTTAATAAATACTCGGCGGTTAAAGCCCCCTGCGAACACTGTTTTGTCAGATTGGAAAGCTTCTAAACCTTACTGTGCTCTTTGCTGCCTTCCCCCTCTCCCCTCCACTGCTTCCAACCTCATACTTCTTTCCTCCCACATATTCATTTCAGAACTCAAAAATTATTTGAGTTCTTGGTGTTACATTGGTATCTGAGAAAAAAAAAATAACTTGCAATTAAAAAAGCAACGCTTGATACCTCGGTTCAACTCCACATTTAATGAGGTGTGGGACCCCAGGCAAATTCTTTGGCCATTTACTGCCCATTTCACTGATGAAGCCCGTGCTGAAAGTATCAACAAAAAGCATTATTGTGAGGATTAAATATGACAGTATAACTAAAGCACATAGTTTGTTGGACATAACAGGTACCATAATTATTATTTTAAAGAATACTTGAGTGCTCTAAGTTCAGAAAAGTCAGAGTGGGGCAGCCACCTATGCAGAGTAACTTAGTAATGGTGTGAAAAGCTGTAAAAGGTTCAAGTTTCACAGTTGGTGGTCTGTCAGCTAGGAGTTTGGAGTTGTGTGACTTTACCCCTACAGCACTACAGTGGCTGTCACTCCCATGGCTTCTCTCTTGGGCTGGCCCTACATTCTCTTTGTAGTTTTCCTTAGATGATCCACGTTCCAGCTTCTCCAAACTCCTGGAGTCTCCACATACCTTTGGCTTCATACTCACAGCTTCTTCCACTGCCCTCGCAGGGACACACTGCCAGCCTCCACACCTTCTTCTGAACTCTGAGTGGAAGTCTTCCATTCTGCGTACACCTAAAATTAGCACCATGTGAATAATGCCAGGGTCTGCTGCCCACTGGAGCAGTAGCTAGGCTTCCCTCTCTCTTGGCTGTAATGATTGCTGAGCACTCTGAGTCTAATTCTGAGGAACAAATTCTCTAGGTCACTCATATTCTAGAACATGGTGCTTATGGCCTGTCTTCAAGGCAAAGTCTTTTTTTTCAATTTTGAGGCTGCAAAGAGTGGGGTTCTGCTGCTGCTTATAATGCACTCAGGTCTTTTTTTTTTAATTTTAGACAAGGGTTTACGAGGTGTTCAAGGCCTCACTACTAGATCAGACTCATAGTGATCCGCCTGTTTACAGCCTCCCAAGAGCTGGGATTACAGGCATGCACCACCACACCCAGTCTCGATTGTCTCAATGCGCTGCCAGGGCGGGGCTAGCACAGCAGGCCAAACCCCGGCCCCTGTGCCTTCCTGCAGGTGCTTTAATCCACTGAGCCATTTGGCCAGCCCATCTTTTCTATTCTGTTCCTTCTCAGCAATCAGGATCTTCTCTGTTCTGTTTTCTTTGAGTCTACAGTTTTACTGGAGCTTCCTTTCTGGCCAAACTCACAACATTTAAAATCATCTCGCTAGCCTTTTTGCTCTTATTCTCAACATAAATCGAAAATAATAATAATAATAAAACCCCCAACATTAGCTATGCCACTGCTTCAACATCTGCCTTGAAAATTTCTTCTGCCAGAAATTTCTTCTGCCAGATTAGTCTGCTACCCTTAATCTCAGTCTCAGTCACTCTCTGGACATAAGCAAAATGCAGACGAACTTTCTACTCAACTACAATACACATAATCTGGAGTCCAACAGCCAATGCAGTTCTTCTCAGTAGAACATTTATCAGCCTTCTGCTCTTCTAAACTCTGACCAGAATCTCCCATACAGTACAACCCAAGGTGTCCTTGCTCTACTTTTTTAGCAGGCGTCTTTGAATCATTCCTAACTGTTCCCACAAGCCATTCCCAAATGCTCCTGAACCATGTGGTCAGGTATGGTCATATCAACAACCCCACTTGTTTGGTACCAAATTCTGTCTTACTTTTCTCATTACTCAAACAAAATACCCAACATTCAAAGTTAAAAAGGAAAAAGATTTATTTATCTCAGTTTGTACAGGTTTCATAATCTGTATATAATCTGTCCATAATCAGCTGGCTCCAGGGCAGAGTGGCACATGGCAGAGGACAACAGCTGGTGGCAGATAAAGACAGCAAAAGCAACAAAGGAAAGAGGGAGACAAGCCTCTTTTCATTCCTTACATTGTATCCAGTCCACTGAGATTAGGATGGTGCCAGTGCAATCAGTGGACTGTATCGACAGGGACCCATTCTAAATCCTAGCATTTCACCATCAATCAATCACACACTCTAGATTCAGCCACCTGCAGAAAAGTCCTGTGACCACATGAGGCTTTGGGGAGACATCTAAACCCAGACTATAACAGGACCAGATTCCACAACTGCCACCACAGCAGCACAGCTGAGAATCTCACCTAGAACTTCACTTCCAAACCTCATTGCAATGGTCTTTTTTCCTAAGTAACCCCAGGCTAGTTCCTCTTTTTGCACTGGGAATGATATTGGTTGTAGCTGCCACATCAAAATCTAGTGTGGGTGGGTCTAAATAGTGGAGCCCACATCATTGGCCTGCATACTGCCAAGTTTGGGAAAGCAAGCATCCAGGATATTTAGCCTCTGCCACCTAGGCACAAATGTAGGACATTCTTAATATAGGAGGAAAAAAAATGTCAGCTTAAAAGCTTAGGAAGAAAAAATTAGAATCAAATCAGAAAGAAAACTATAGATCCCCAGGCCTGCCCTGCCGGCCCCGCCCCTGGGGTGTGCTGAGAGGTCATTGAGAGATTGAGACTGGGTATGGTGGCACAGGCCTGTAATCCTAGCGTTTGCGAGGCTGAACACAGGAGGATCACTAAGAGTCAGGTCTATGCAGTGAGACCCTGTACACCTTGTCCTGAATACAAAAAAAGAAAGAAAACTAAAAAGAGATGATCGATTTTAAAGCTGTTTACATACCTTAAAGTTTGATTAAACATTCTATTTTTATTATCAATTCCAAATACTCCACAAACTAAAAGCACTGTTACTGTTGACCTCTCAAGCTTTGTGAATTAAGTGGCCTCCTGTGTCTTCTCTACCATGCTCTTAAGACATCTTCCAGATACTTATTTATGCAATTTTTAAAAATACTTTCACTTTTTTTTTTCACAGTACTGGGGCTTGAACCCAGTCTTTCACACTGAAAAAATCTCCAGGCTTGTGTGTGTGTGTGTGTAAGAGAGACAGAGAGAGAGAGGTTGGCTCTGTGAATGCTGCAGGGTCTTCAGGCTGGGTTCAGCTTCTAACATAAGTTCCCGTAGTTGGAATAGCTGAAGCTCTGGGACAGGAATAAATCCAGAAGTTTTAGAGAAGCGAACAAGGAGCAACTCTGTCTTCACCGATACCAGGGATGGCAGACCTTTTAGAGTCGAGCATCCAAACTGTAACCCAAAACCCACTTATTGATTGCAAATGTCAACACGAATTAAATACGAATACTGAAATTTTAATTTAGAAAAAAAATTTATTAAAAAAAATATTTATTAACATCTTTGTCTTAAAAGAAGAAACAAATGTCTTAGCTATTTTCTCATTGCTTAGACAAAGTACAAGACACCCAAAACCCCTGGAATAAAGGTTTAATTGGCTCACCATTTGCAGTGGTTTCAGTCCATAGTTGGCTGGCTCCAAGGCAGGATGGCCTGGCAGAGGGTGTGGCAGAGGGGAAACGGTTCCTCGTAGGCAGCAAGCTACAAGAAGCAACCCTCTTTCTGTTCCTTACATCCTATCCAGGCTACTCACCCTAACTGTGGAAAGCACCATACCCAGGGTGGGGCATTCTGAATCCTCATAAGGCACTATAAATCAATTCCAGCATCACACCCTTGATCCCAGCACACCCTAGAACCAGCCACCTCTGACATGTCCCACATATGGGCTTTGGGGGGACATCTACATACAAGCCATAACAAATAACATGCATGCTATAGGTTTGTCACCACTGGACTAGACCCTCATGGAAAATCTCTCTCCTCCCTCTCCCTCCCTCTCTCTTGCTCTTTGCTTACTCAGAAATCATATACATCATTTGACACACATTTGAACTCACAATAAGAAACACAATTCTATGTTTCAGTTTAAGAGGATACAACTATCCTTCATACAAAAAAGATTTTCTATTTCCTCAAAATGATGACATGTCAAGACTCAACATTCATTTTATCTATCTCCGGTAGGCAATAACACTGTCCACCTCTCAGCTATATTTATTTTTCCTCAAAGTTGGTACTGTATCATGGAATATTCTGTTCCTTCAAGACAAGATAATAAAGTTAGTCTCCAGGAGAAGTTGCATAAAATATTAAAGGGAAGGAAAAGAGAAAAGAAGAAAACATTTATGATCTACACACTATGCATCCACACACTTGTACATATGAACAGCCACATAGAGCAAGGAAGAAAAGTCATAAAGTTGTAAGTTCCTTCATCTGTCTTCATTCCTCCATCACTCATTCTATCTTTTTGTTGCCCTCAGAGAGACCTCAGCTGGTCACACTTCCTTACTTCATGGTTGTCACCCAAATGTTTTTTGTCTGAAGAGCCTGAACTTTCAGTGTCTTGTCCTTGCCCCTTCTCCGTTTCCCTCCTTCCTCCCTTTCTTGTTTCCTTCCATTTCCCCCCTCCTTCCTCCTCCCCTTATTCCTCTATTCTTGTTTGTTGCTTTTGGTTGCCTATGGTTTCACTGGCATTAGTACACCAGAACGGCTATTCAGCAGTCTTAGATTCCAGTTCAGTGGGAACATTCCTTCCTTAGGACTCAAAACCTCCAAACAAGCAGAGCTTAAGAGTGTAGGATAAAAGCAAAATTCTGCAGACTGGTAATTAGTGTAACAGAGAGAGTCCACTTCTATATCCAGCCATCTTCCCGGGTCCACAGAGTCTGGCTGTAGGAGACTCACAGATGCTAGTTTCTACTTTGTAGCATTTGCTATACCCTGTAAGAGAACTTTCAGGCTGCATCCACTGGCAGCCTACCAATCTTCAGGAGACCTTGCCACTGACCTTGTGGGCCACCCGCTTCATTCTGAAGTCCATGAGCAGAAGTGTGCTGCTGTATTTCTTTTACTCTCAAATGAATTTCGTG